ATTTTTTTGCCAATTTTCACTGATAAAAAAAGTGGTTCAATGCCAGAAATTCAATCCCCAAAACTTCAATATTGCTTTTAGCTCATAATTACTAACTGAATTCTATGCAAGAGCTTTCATCCACCCGATAGCTTTAAGCAAGCATTTGTAACATATTGTGCGTTTGTGAATGTAATTCATATAAACCTAGCTTCTATCTCTAAATAAGTTCCTGAGAAAAATTCTGAACAATTGATGAAGCTAGCCAGAATTCGGGAAGCACTTTGAAACAAAACTAAGCAAATTGCTTTCAGTAATCATTTTTCTTTATATCGTACCACGAATAAGAACTGGAAGACTAGCTTCAGCATAAAATCAATTACAATTATTTAACAATTTTCTTATCACAAAATTGATTTTATACAATTATACAATTCTATTTTTAGAAAACAAATGAGAAAGCTATTACTTTTACCAGTAATTTGGTATTAGCTATGATCATTTCGTGATGATAGACCAAAAGCAAAAAGATTCCTTTTCTTCGACGATAATTATGCTTTTGTCATATTATTAAGTATTATTTATTGTACAATATTTATTGAATCCATGTGATGCTGGCAATTTACTGTACTTCTATTGCCAAGGGGCACTTCCCTGAGAAATTTGTCTGATCCGACAAACCAGCGAAGCGAGTCGAACCAGTAATTGTGAGTGTTTTCCTAAAGAAATAAAAAATATAAAAAAATTATATTCATCCAGAAAATAGATGTTTTAGATTTCTTTTCAATAAATTATAAATTGATTTTTTCAACAGTTATGGCGCCGAGTGAAATTCACTATGATTTCAACTGGCGAATTAGAGGTGAAAAAAGTATGAAAAAATTGATAGTTGAAAAAGTACGAAATCTCTTCAAAATTTTCTTTCATTAAAAAATTAAAAATTTAAGAATTTTTTTAAAGAAATTTAACAAATTGATAAGATGCAAATATTTCAACAATTTATGATTTTCATTTTATTGGCATAGTTTTCGTCAACTAAACTGAAATTATTGAAGATGGCCTGCCTGTAGAACTAAAATGAGAATTTAATTTTTTATTATTATCACCAATGCTGTCAGAATAAATTTGCTAATGATCTAGTATAGTTATTTTATGGTTTTTTTTTAACTTATTTTCAAAGGAAGTTGAAATTATTCAAAACTATTATATCTGTGGCTACCGTAACAGTTAATCAGTGTAATAAGAATGGTTTTTGAGCGAAAAAATTTTTGATATTGACGATATGATAAAAAGTAATTTTATGCTTTTCCTCAAATCACCATTCAATCACTATTTTCATTGTTTTTTGTTATTTTGAAGCGAACGATGCCAATCTAAAATACTGTTTAACTAAAGATTTAAATAAATAAGACAATTTTTATATTAAAAATTCGCGAATGAAATAATGTTAAGTAAGTAAATAAATAAATAGGACATAAGTGAATGAATTTTTGAAAATTTTTTATAGTTGGATGAAGGAAGGAAGCATTGATAATAAACCACCGATAATAAAACTTTGATAATAGATCATTGATGATAAAAATAGGACGGATAAAGAAACTATTTGATCGTTTTATGATAATTCTTTGAAAATTTTGAAAAATAAAAATATTTAAACATTATAATTTAAGCTGTTGTTTACTATAGTTCGATCAATACAACAAAAGACAAATTATTTTTCGAGGTAAGAATCGCTTATTATCTCGTAACAACTGTCGTCTATCCCTTTTCTTGATATGATATGATATGATGATAATGCAATCATAGAAGACACCAAAGATATAATATTACTATTGGTTGTTAAGCTTTCAGTTAGTTAACTGCTGCTTGTCGATTTTAACTCGGAATAGAAGAAAATTCTTCGAATTTTACTATTCGAGAAATGTTTCCTTTTTTTTTTGCAAAAATTTCAACCATATAGCATTTAGTTTTCACTTAATTAATAATATAATTTTATTTGACTAAAAAATTACGTTCGTAGATCGCGATCATAAATCTAAAATTTAAAAGAATTCTTCGGCGAAGTGAATGGCTATCGAAAATTCCATTTTGGTTATTTCTATGGATTCATGCGAACGCAACTGCGTTAGCCTTTGTTCAAGACAAACACTCCAAAATACAGTAAATGCTTTCGAATGCTTCGCTATCACAATCATCAATTTATCTTAACAAATTTAACAAATGCAATCGTAAATTTAAAACGAATTTATCCAATAATAATAATATTAATAATAATAATGGTAATAATAATGATCATAATAATAATGATAACAATTATGATAACAATGATAATAACTAAATTTAAAATATTTTCGACGAAAAATTTGAGTTTTAACATAAATCATTGAAAAGAAAATTCATAGGAACTAATAAAAATTGGAAAAAAATAACAAATGAAAACCGTGAAATTAAGAAAAAAAAATTTATTTTGGAAATTTAGAGTGAAGAAATTAATAAAAAATAATTAATAATAAATAAATTAATGAAAAATAAATCGATTCTATAGATTAATTTCGACTCGATCAACATAAATCTAATTAAATAATGCACTTTGGCATTTCGCTTTAACCCTCAATCAAAATCGAAGTGTTTTGTTATTTTGTAGTTCAGTTGTTCACATAAAATTTTTTTAAAGCTTAATATATAAAATAAAAAATCATTCATATAAATCCAACATTTATTCTTTAAAGATCTTCTGGCTAGGTTTGCTCATTGTTTCGTCGAAGCGGGCAAACTTTTTGTCAAAGACCTAATTTGGCGATACAGATAAGGCGCCAGCACCATCCGAATTCGTCAACTATTCAACTATCTCAATCAACTATCTCTCTTCATAGAAATTTCTTAAATTTGTTGAGATCCATGAAATTGGAAGGGAATGATCGAGTAGCTTATTGGATACTGCATAAATAATGTTATCACAGAGCGTCCTTAGGGCACATTCTCCATGTCCATCACAGGAGCTGGTGCACTATTTCGTTATTTGCTAAACCGTATGATGATTGGCATCAAAAACGAAGTGGGCCAGTCAAGACCGGGAATGATACGGCCAGGAAAGTTTTTAAACGTATAGGTGGACCAGTAATATATGGACTTAGACGATGGAAAAAGGAATGGCTTTCATTGCTGTTGGCGATATTATCAGACCGCGCAGCTTGGAAGCGTCTTACCCTTGTAACCAGCCTAACCAGTAATGGTGAAAGCTATTAGAGGAAGAAGAAGAAGTGGCTTATTGGATAAACTAACGGCTATTATAAGTGTTCCCTTGGAAAATTGTCAATTCTGGCGAGTTATCCATTACCCATACGGATTGGCTATTCTTAGAAAATAAAAATTTTCGCATAAGAATAAACAGCCAAATCATTTCTTTATTATTATGTCAATATTTTCACCTAACAATGTGAAGGCATTTAGATCCTCAATTATTATCGCTTTTGTTTGGCATATTGCATTTTGATCTTTTTTTTTTTTTATTTTAAAATGCTTATTGCTTTTCATATTTTAAAGTTGCAAGATATGTTATGTTGTCTATTATGCAATTATATTATTTGATAGATGTTAACTGATATGATAACAAAGATGATAAAGATGATTGCATTCAAGCATTTCCTCCTACCGTATATAAATGAATAAATATACATTAATAAAATTTTTATCGTTGTTGCTGATATACGCGCTATTGCGCCTTTTCCTCATATTACACTTAATCAAAAATCTTTTCGCAATAATGAAAGAAGTTGAGACGTTGACTGATTGATGAATTTTTCACTTAATATTTTATTTGATTTTGTTTTTCATATTATATTTATTATATTTTTATATTTCATAATTGAATTTATTTTTCAATATTTACAGTTATTTTTGTGGATAGATTTTATGATCGATTAATGCAGCAGCAAACTTAATATTTCTTCGAAATTAGCTTAGAAATTAACTGAAAGGAATAATTTCAGCAATAAAAAAACGAGGCAAAAATTATTATTCTCTAATTTTATATGCTTTTTTTCATTATTTTATTTTTATTAAGCGAAGTATGGAAAAATCAAAAAATCGGATTAGTTATTTTATATATTCAAAATTTTTCCATATTTCTCAAAGTGGAATTCGAAAAACTGGAAAAGTTTTTGCTGATAAGTGATAGGTATCGTTTAGCGATGGAAGTTCTGTATAAATGTACCAACCATGCATAAATTTAATTTAATAAAAGCGAATAGAAATAACGAAGTACATTCTCCCCATTCCTGGTTATTTCCGGCTATCTCCGCTAATTAGTACGGTATAGAAGATTTGACGAACAGATTGGTGGTCAACAGCGCAACATGAATTCTTTAATGATTTGCTAATAATTTGTTAGAGTAAGGGTCCACGAATCTTTGCCTCTCAAAACTATAATCTAATCTACGCCACTTCCCATTCCTTTACGTTAAAGTCAAAGCAAGCAAGCTCTTCCTTTTGCTTCGAAGGTTTCGGCGTATTCATAATTGTATTTTAAGCGAGATTCTTTCACTAAACAATTTTACGAATTTAGTTGTCATTCCATGAACGTATGGATACAATATTTTATTTCGATGCTGATAACTGTTACGTATGCTGAATTGACTGCATTTCAAGAATTCGGAGATCCATCACCTCAAGGTAATCTTTTTAAAGACAAAATTAATATGAAATAATTTTAGTTGATGGTTAGAGTTCAAATTGTGATCGCCTTGTTTATTCGCTTTAACTTCACGGTTAGTTTCAAAATTTCTTTTATTTGAGAGTCTATAAAGGTGTTTTTCTGGAAAGTTTCTGGAAACTTTCTGGAAACTCATTGAAATAAAATTTGAGCTAAAATTTTATAATATAATTTGAAAAATAAAATCTCGCTCTCGAACTTTCTTACTATTTACTTTTCTCTTTCATGACGATAAAATAGATAAATTAAAAAATAATTAAAGTCTTGATCGATGAAGATAAACTAGCTCGCTTACGTTAAATGATTTTAAGAACTCGCACTACTCGATTGGTCCTCAGGAATTCGCTTTGCATATTGTGCTGACGTTACCATTGAAAAACTTACTGAACCTTTCAAGGCATCATTAATCAAGGCAATCAACAAATTTTGCAGTAATGCAACAGCATGTTTACTCAAATCTCCGTACGTCATTATATTTCTTTTTTTATTAAAATTACCAGACCTTTACACTAGGTTTTAAAGAATACTTGATGAATTACTGGTGTTTTGTTTCGAATAGGCATGAAAAAGCGCGGATTTTATTACTATCCTTGATAGAGTATGCCTATCATTGGGCGTGAAAAAATGGTGACACTGGGAATTCATTTAAAGGTCCCTGATCATTAAATACCTCTGTGGAGTTCTATTATACGATGCTTCTTCAAAGTCTGTATTGATGCTGTTATCTATATTGGTCCTTAAATGGAATTCGCTATAATAAGCGAGCTATTCAGATATTTCCTATTAAAAATTGCCATTTTAAAAATTTGAGTTTTCTGCAATATTTTCAAATATATTTTATATGAATGTTCGCGAACATTTGTTGCTAATCATAGGAAAAAAGCAGAAATTTTTTTATTTCAGTTTTTATTTAAGCTGAGATTTTAGTTGATCTAGAAAGTAAGAAAGTTTTGAAATTATTAATCCTTTATCCTCAGTTATATCGATGCAGCTAGAAGCTAGTAATGCTTAGCCAATGTTGTGGGATTTTTCCTCGTTACGACCGTTTAGATAATTCGAAATAAAATGAAATTGATTGCAAATGTAACTTTTTTTTTTAAATTCATTTGCACGGTGATAATATAAATGAGTAATGGATTGCTTAAATTATCAGCTTTCAAAATAGGATCCGCGGATTCCCGTTAAGCTCGCACTGAATTTCTTCGATTCAAAGCGATTTCTATGGTGTTCATAGCAATGATATTTAATTATAACTTGTTAAGGTGCTGGAAAATTTCAATTTTTTATTTTTAATACGATAAACATCGAAATGTTTGGACCAAATAGAGAAAATAGCTTACAAAATCTTCAATAATATTTAGGAAAAAATAACTTTTTCAATAACTTTGAAGAATTTCATCAAAATTTTTCCACTTTTTTAAAGTGCCTTTTTAAAGGGTAGCATAGTAAAATTTTTAATAGCCAATGAGTTAAATTATCAGTTCAAGCAAGCAAAATTTTTTACACTGCAAAAAAATAAAAGATAGATGAAAGACGACAACTTTGGAGCAACAGGAAAATTAAGGATGAACGCAAATTTTAGATAATTGTCGCTGTAAATATATATGTGAAAAATTTTTATGTTCTTCTCTCTCTCTCCAATTCACTTTCCAATTAATGGCAAATAAAATTATTTGTCGGACATAAATTATTTTTTTTAGGATTAATTATTTGAATTTTTAAATTATTTTATTCAGTAATTCTTTTAATTGCAATGAAAATTTGATAATATTTACTACATTAAAATTCATTACAATTCATGATGAACAGAGAAATTTATATTCTCTCTGTTTCTCTGTTTGAACTGCTCAAAATTTCCACATTTTGCACAGTTCCACAAACACATTACGAAGACGTAGGGATATGATGATATCAAATCCATTCACTGAGGTGAGTGATCTGCACCGTGCTAAGGTACCGCGAATAATTTGCGCACTATCGCAGCGGCGAGTGTTTCGTTGTTGCGCGCATTGGTCCATGGGTGCAATTCACTCGTATGGTGGCGAAGTTTAGGCGCTGATCCCGCTAGTCAAAGAAAGCAGTGAAGGTGGTGTATTGTTGATAATTAAGATATGTAAGGTGTTTTTCCGCTATTTCTTGATCTGGAAAATTCAGTTTCGGTTTTTCAGTTGCTTCACTGTTTCTATCCATTTTTTGTGGAAACTGCATTTTTTCAAACAAATGCACAAGATGTGAAAAGAAATTTTAGGGTAATATTTGCTGTGGAACAAATTGTATTATTAGATGGATATCCGCGAAGGGATTATGGAGCAGTACAATTTCGATTTGTGGTTGTCCTACCGCATAATGCAGTTCCTTTAATTCGGCTCAGACAACCTCTTCTTTCAAATCGAATTCTCTCCAGTGGGATATTTATAATTTGCACAAAAATCTTGGCAACAAATAAGACTGCGTTAGAGTAATGAAAGGTTTCAATGAAAAATGAAAACTCAGGCCATTGGTCAAGCATTTGGCTGTTTTTGCAAAAATGCCATGAAAATCTATCAAAAAATTCCAGTTTATTGAAAATTCCAGATTTTTTTATAATGAGGCAATAATTCCATTGTATCCAATAATGACCAAAGGCTATGAAAAGAGGCGTAAAAAGCTTTGGAATATTTCCTTTAATCTTAAGACTCTGTTTTTCAATATTTGATTTATTTTTAATTTTATATTTGATTATAAGCAGATATTCTACAAAGATATGCGCCGGAAATTTCAAGGCGATTAGGTTGGCATCTTATGAGCTATGAGAAATTTCCCCGTTTTGACGCTATTACTGAATTTATGAATATAGCTTTGATACCAATCGGATTTATTCTGCTTATTGCTATGTTTATGCTAGCCTATTGGTCAAATAATTTCAGGTATTTTTATTTTATCATTTTCTATATAAACGAATTTTAATTAGGCCTTTATGTAAATTCATTAAATTATTTAATTATTTATCAGTTATTTAATTAGTTAATCTGGAAAAGAGGTTAAAAAATTTTTTTCGTTTCATCGACATATTGCTTTGTTGGATTTTCATAACACTGGTAATTGTGATAGTTTCATGCATCCTTAAGAATATTACTAAATTTCATTTTAAGCCTCAAATAAAATATGGGCATGAAATTGGTGGATTGTGGTTTTTGACCTAAAATATAAGAGAAAAAATGTTTCAGCGCACCATAAAATGAATATTGGTTCTTAATAGTCGGCCAAATGAGAATCATAATCCTCGAGAATAAATAAATATTCTTTACCCATGAATCAAGATATAGTTTCATATATTAAGAAAATTTTTAGAAGCAGCACAATTATTACTTTAAATTATAACAGCAATATTTCAGTAGATTTAGTGGCAGTAGCGATGAAATTTTGGTCTCTGGTTCGAGTGGTGGCAAAAATTTGGCTCTCAAGTTTGTCTAATTTTTTTCTCATTTATTACTTGATTCGAAATGAATAATTGATGATTTTTGAACAAAAATATGCATACTTTTCTTTAAAGCGCACTCATCATTTGTTAAATTATTTATCACTATTAATTATCATTTTAGTTAATCAGACGAGATTAATTTTTACCAGGTTTCCACTTAATGATAGGAGGGTGAATCACCAACAGACCTGTTTGTTTGAAAGACAAATTTAATTATGGCTACCTTGATTCATAAAACAAAACATCTATGCATACAGTTTCATATCACTTTTGACCAATCAGCAAAAAATTGTAATTTACAACTAATTTGCTACAGATAGCCTTTGAAAATAGCAATTAGCATTAAAAAACCAAAAAATATTTTTTTAAATTCCAGGAGAACTCTCGAAATAATAAAAGAGCAAAAGATGCAGAACGAAGCCATTGAAAAACCTATAAGCAGTGACAAAGATAAAGGAATAGATGGCCCGATGTCCGATAGTATGATAAGCACTGATAAGGCATCGTCATCTGAAGAGATATTTGCCATGACAAGGTAATTATTATCAGGTAATGCTGAAATGAAATCGCATTAAAACAAATTATTTCCAAATTATTTATGTATTTGCAAATTAATTATGATTGATATTTCTGTATTGTTTTCCATCTGTTATCAAACCTTTAAAAGGAATTATTTGAAAGAATTATTTGTTTTTAAGGCTATCTGGAAATTCAGATGAAAAAGCGGAAAATGGAACAGAGAGATTAACTGTACCAGGAGTACCAGAAATATTCGTAATACCACCGCAATCAGATTCGGGATTATTGAAAAATGGTTCTAATGCACCAAGACGTTCAATTATGACACCAAGGTTGATTTTTTAATTGTTAACATGATTTTCTCATAGTTTTTATTTTTATTATTTATTTGACTTCTATTTATTGTAATTATATTCATAAATATTATGATTTCCCTTAACTGAAATGCCTTTATTAAAGGAATAAATGGAATCACGCATTATTCGCATCATAAAGATCATTTGGATTTATTATTCTTTATTATGCTTGAAAAAAGATTCTTAAGTCTGTTAAGAACGTTTACTATTCGTGGTTAATCATTTCTGCTGACTTCGATTAGAAAAAATTTGCCAGGGAATCACTTGGCTATAGAAGTTAGGCCGACAGCGATCATTCATGTTTTACAGCTAAACTAGAACTTTCGGCATATCGGCACAAATTCCATGAGTCCATTTTTGAAAAGAATTATGAAGAAAGAATTAAAAAATAAAAGAAACTGTATTTCTAAAATCTTTATTTTTAAAATCCTTTTCAGTGCTAATAAGCAACGTCTTAGCAATGCAGGTCGCTTCAGTTCTCTTGAAGAGATATTGAAAGAGAAACGCCATAGAAAATTAATCAGACCCAATATTTTTGGCATGAAATGCCCTGAGCGTCGATGGAAAACAAGCATGGCTCTTGGTGGTTTCCGGCGATAAATAAAACATTCTACTATTAAAATTCCATGTATTTGTATTTGTATAAATCAACTAAATAAATATTATGAATATTTATTTATGAATAATTTGTTCCATAGGCTACTGCCAATTATTTCACGTGCTTCCGGTTGTGACACGTGCATTCCGCTCATAAATTAAATTTTGTTATGTTCCATAATACGTTTTAGTACGTTTTCGAAAAACAACGTATCATATCTTTATTTTTCCAATCCTTTACTTTTATTTTTATTGTTAAATTCTACTTTGGTTCCTATTAATTGCATTTTTGCTTTTTGACGTTAAACATCGGTGGATTCTTTCAGTTAAGATTAAGATTAGGCTATTGTAGGTTTGATTCCTACGATGAGAATAATCAATCAATAATCAATCCTATCAATCAATCAAAATGAAATCTACGTGTTGCTGGGGGGCCACTTGTATCCAAATGATTCCGTGGTGAGGAGGCGTCATATTAAAGATAGTATTCAGCCATATTCAGCCATAAGAAAATTCATCTCCAGAAAACAAAAAGATTTGGTAAAATTGGTTGTAAAAGTAGCAATTTTGACAGCAGACAGATTGACCATCATGATTCCATCTTATATTTTATTTTGAACCTTTAAATATTTTATTAGAAATTCCAGAATGTTTGTATGCTTTATGCGATAAATATTTTATTCAATATATTCGTTCCGATGAATATAAATCTAGAAAATTGGTTTCGAAGCAAAACAATTATAAGTTTAACCGACCGGAAGACTCGAATCCTAGTCTCTTCTAGTTTTCTAAAATTTTTCGCACCTATTATTGCAATGTTTATAATTTATCGAAATGAAAAGCGGATTTGGACTCCAATTCGATTTATATCCCACTGGAATAGCAAAACCGATTTTGCTCATTTTCGCATATTTGATAATTCGCAATTTTAATAATCTTTCTAGCAATTTATCCAATTGATGTAATCCTTTCCATAAAAAAAACAACAATCGACGAGGACGATGCAGACGATATTTGAGCGACATATTATGAAATAATCATCTATATGGTAATAAGTCAATTTGAAATCTTCCAACTTGTCAAGTTAGTGATGATCGTCTTCGATGAGATATATCTTACAAAAAAAAAAAACAATAAGGAATATTAATTTTGTAAAATGCGCTTAAAATTAGGACCTCCTATGGCGACGATGAGCTAAACTGTCGATTTTTTCGCATATTTTCATCATTCAACCAGTATAAAATACTGAAAGAATTTGGCACTTCAAGGTCATTTCGATATAAGCATATTTAACGTCATGATAAATTGCAAGCAATTGCATCAATCCTCAGTCTAACAATACGACATTAGCTAGTTCATACTCATATTTGCATTTCTAGTGAAGATTCTATTGAAAAAAACAATTTTATTAGTTACTGACCAAATTGCTTTGCGAATTGGCCCGAAGGGATTTTTGCCTCTTTTGATTTTATATTTCTATACAAATAAATGTATTCAACTAAGAAAAGAAAAAGACTTTATGAAATTTTTGTGCAGTTTAGAAAAAAAACAGTACTGTACTAAACAAATGCGGTAAGTACCATAAGGCGTTCAATAATGCTATTATTATTGATAAGAACCGCTAGGCTCCTATGTAAGGGTTTAGGAAATTTAAATAGATGTTAATGCTTTTTTTTTTTACATTTGAAATGATACCGCAATAAAGGAAGGATAAAGCAGCCGTAGCCACTTGTTCATTTAAAATTTATTTCATTGCTGAGGATAGTGCTTAAGAACGGATAATAAGAATATTAGGTTGAAAGGTCAAACATACTGTGATGTGTCGTTTCACAAAGATACGCCGACCAACTTGCCTATAAAGGTCAGAAGTTACTAAAGCAAGCAAAGATATAATTAGAACGGAAATACATAATCATGAAAATCATCAACATGAGGCGGGTGTCAAATGTCAAGCACCAATCGCTATGTTTTGTAAGCAATTGAAGAAAATTATGCGTGAATCAGTTAATAATTGTTTTCTGCCATGTACAGCAACAAGATTGGTGACCTTCGTGAACATCTGTTGATCTTTTTAATCCCTTCTGATTAGATTATTATGGTTTCTCATGTTCATTTAATTAAACTTTAACCTAATTATCTCACATAACAATCTGCTAAATAGTTAGTCAGATTTTTCTTTAAAAAATTTTTCGTATATTTTTTCAAATATTTAGCTTTATTTTTCTTGTTTTTTATAACGATGAGTATTTCTCTATTCATTAATATTTAGAAGAGAATTTCTCAAATGGCTCCAATAAAAGAATCACGAATCTATAAAGCTCACTTTTCACAGAAAGAAGACATACGACCCATTTATACACGCACACTCATCGCTAAGAATTCATAAAACTCTTCTCTTTTCAACTCCATTTTCAATTTCTTAACCAGTAATTAAACTTAATAAAATTACAAAAATAGAAAAAAAAGTTTCATGTAATTTAAAAATAAATTATCCATAGCATCATTTATAGCATCGAAATTTCTATGAATTTTAATTAATTTGAAATATAGGATAGTGGTGCGATTATTAGACTTACAGGCTACAATAATTATTTATTGTAGATCTAAAAAAAGTTTAATAAAAAAAGCCAAAAATCCAATGAAATCCGAAATTGTGGCTCAAATATTTCTTAAAGTTGTTAGTAACTCACATGCTAAATAAATCGTTCCTGTAATTTTGCATAAAATCAACTAAAAAATATTAATTAAGTAAAAAAAAAGATCGAAAATAGATTGGAAAAGTTGAGTTATGAAGAGAGAAATTGGCCAATGAAGACCATATAATAAGTAATGCATGAACAATCGGATTTTAAAGGAGAGATCACGCTATGTTAAAATAAAATTATAAATTCATTACAATATTTAAGATTATACGAAGCTCATCCAGCTAAAAATCTTAAAATACTTATTTTCTCATCTAAAATTACTTCTTTTTGACCCTTTTATCGACCTATTTGCAAAAATAACATTTATTCAAAATTCAATTATTTTTCATCTTAAATCAGCCATTTTCTGTCGTCTAAACGCAAAAATAAATTAGCTAAAATTCAATTCAACATGCTTAAAATAAAATATAGTTAGCACTAGGATTTAGTATTTAATGATTTTCTTTTGGTTCTCGGCTAAAGAAAATAGAAAGATAAGACAAAAATCTCTCGAGAATCGTTATTATCTACTTAGCTGAGATCAACAACGTTAAAAATCCGAAATCATCACTTATCGCCATATTCGACTTATTGAAATTGATAAATTTATGCAATAACTGATGTTTTATTTTTGTAAAAATACTGATAATTTATATAAAAACAAATTATCATTTTGGAAAAATTCTTTTAAAAAAAATTCGAGATTTTAGAGAAATTTTTTTCCTAAAAAGCGCTCAATTGCTGGTGAACTGTCGAATTCGCCAGCAAAGAAGTACGAATGAATTGGTAGTGCCATCTGGATTTTAGAGAAGTAGAAACTTTCAGCTATTGAGACTAGAACCTTAGTATGTCAGCATTAATGCTCCCAAATAACCCACTGAGCCATCCCATCCTCGAAAAATCTGCTGATTTTTGTTGATCTTTTTAATTTTTTAATTACTTAATGCATTCCCTGAAGAGTCGACGAATTCCAACAAGTTTTATTTATGAAATGAACGAATAGATTCGAAATTAACAGTATACGGAAAGAGATGAACATGAGCACCTGTCATGCAAATATTTTGTATGATAAATGAGGTGGAGCTTTAGGAAGATCCGTAGCCAATGAAAGCACTATTTTGGAGGAGACAAGAAGAGGTTTATGGGCGTTGCTCGGGAAAGATTCACTTTTTGATTAAAAGGATTGACATTTCTCGGCTTTCATCATTCACACTCACGAAGTTTTCCATAAATAGGTATTTTTTTAATCATTGAAATGTCAATTTTTCTACCAATAATTAAGAAAATTTGGGAAAATTCGCCCCAAAAAATCACCAAATTTTGCCCGACGATATATCCCCATAAAATTGAATTATGGCCATTTCTTCATTCTCTGCCATAATTCTCATACAAAATTCTTGTTACGGGCATCGTCACTTGGAAATTGCAAATTGACCAATTCACAAAATCATTAGTCTTTAGAATATTTCTGGAAACATTGTTTCATTTATTCTTTTTTGTGATAATTGATCAGCGATGAGTCTGCTGAAAATTGAACGTCTCGAAAGCAAAATATATTTTCAACTTGTCCGACTAATTTAATATCGCTAAAATGTGAAAAGATTGGTTTCTTTTATTTTTAACGCTGCTTATATTTATTACTTTATGCAGGTTAATTATTCATCGATTAAATTTTCTAGAAGAAATATGATTAAATATAATATAAAATATATTAATTTTAAAAAAGAAATAAATTAAGTAATATTAATTTATTAATTTAATAATTAATATTGGTAGTCAATAACATCAGAGACGCAACAATTTCCTGACAATGTTGGTTAGAGGTTTGCCGATTAGGCTGGCAATTAGGATAAAATATTTTTCCTTGATAAAGTCACGAAGGGACATGAAGAGTGGATGACAACCAGTCGTATTTTTTTTCTGATAACAGGTCTTACTTACTCTTGCTGGATGCGATGCTCTAAATGATAAGCAATATTCAGCAATATTAAATTGTCAGATACTTCGAAAAATAAAATTAAATATTATTTTTTGTATTCTTTGAAGAATTATAATTTTATGATATAATTTTTATTATTATATTTTATCAAAAATGAAATTCTTCCTAAAATCTATGAGTATATTTGCGTTTAAACAATGACTGTAGAATGAAAGATTAAATTTTTCAAATATTACGATAAATTTTCGAAAATTGAAAATTCCATCTTCAGTGACCACTAATTGCTTCTTCATGAATTGCGAAAATTACATTGAATTATTATTATTGGTTTATGCGATTAATTATTTCCATGTATTAGATTGTTCGCATACTTAAAAACCAGATTGTTATGTCTCTCTACTTTGACTCCTTCCTGTGACATCTATACGGTAAACTAGTGAACCGTGAACCAATTTACACATGCAATATTGCCTATTGATCACCTTTACGTACTGTAACTTTTGTGTTTATTCTATAGGCTTTCGTTGTGGTCGAGCGATGGCGAAAGATTTTAAAAAATCAAGCGATTATTCTATATCACGCTTAATTGGAGGAGACTCTGTAGCAGGAACTAGTAGGGACACAATAACTTCAGAAACACAACGGCTTCCTAATGATTGGCATCGAATTAGCGCTGGTCTTGCTTTACAGCAAAAGATTTTTTTGATGCAACAAGGTTAGTAAAAATCTAGGAGAATCGAATTTCCTAGATTTATTATCTTTTTTTTCCAAATCTAGTTGAAATTTTTTTTGTGACACATATGTGACGATCTCTCATTTCCAGCATGCACTGTCTTTCTCTACTATAGCGATAGGATTGGCTGAGTTTATGAACGATGAGCAAAAAAATCCTTTTCAGCAGATGAATTAAATTCGCCTTTTTGGAAAACCTTAGCATTCGTCCTATATACCTCTTAACATCCTTCGGGAATTCATATAATCAAATCGTCAAATAGCTGAATATTTAAATTTTTTGGTGAGAAATATCTTATTAACACCAAAACGAAAAAAAATCAAATATCAACTTAGCTTGACTTTACTAATGGGATTTGCGATTATAAGCCAAGGTTGAGCGAGCTAAAAAGCAAATTATATATTCGAATTGTCGCCAGTTAAGATGGAAGGTGGAAGGGACTAATATGTGTTTCACTAATTTTCTCACAATTATTAATATCCGCACAATCAGAAATATGGATGAAATGCGATATATGAATTGAGGATCGATGTTATGCAAATAAAAAATGAAGAAAAGTGATTTGCTTCCAAAAGAGTGAAAATTATTTATTACCTGAAAAATGTAATATTTGGATATCACTTTATTGAATAGAATTACTTAAATCTGATACTTCAAGAGAGGTATAAATAGGTTAATAATTGATTATTGATAAAGAATTCTGAAACGATCACTTTACTTATTTCCCAAATATGATATTTCTATTAGATATTAGAATTTTCTCCAAGGCTTATTTGGCAAAAAAGATCCATAGGCATATATATCCATTTAATACTTGATATGCTTACTAATCTAAAATGTTATATTCACATATTGAAACAATTTTTTTCTACATCATCATCTTCATGTCAAAAAATCATTGTTAAACCTGGCCCATATATGTGGAGAGAATACTAATGATCTTTGAGATAAAGAGGATTCTTCGTAAAAATCTATTCATGGAATAGATTAGTATTCATGGAGCCATATTCTTCTTTATCTTTACCTCACATTATATTATTGGTTAGGTCCTTAGTTCCACTAAGAATAAGTAAATAAGTGGCTAGTGGCTTATTATTTCTAGCTAGCTCTAATGGTTTTTAATACGGTTAGAAAATTATGCTAGCGATTTATTTGGTAATAGAAGCACAAGTGAGGTGCCAACTGTTTCTTAATGACAGCGCGTCTCTTGGCTACTTACAAGTTTAAGGCATTTTTAAAACTTCAATTTGTCTAATTGTGAAAATTAGCTTTAAAAAATCAATTGCATTAAATATTTTTATCAATTTATTCCTTTCATTAATTCCAATAAAAAATTTTTTTCTTCTTCAACTTTCACCATTTCTCCTTTATTGGTTCTTTTCTTATCAAATAATTTTAATATTACTTATAATTTTTTGCTATTCATCGATTCATAATTAATCAGTTTTATGTAAAAAATTATTAAACATCACTTATAAATATCACTTGATTTGTTAAATGGGAAAAGGTGATACAGTAACAAATATTTATATATCAATTGGTTTCATTTGCCAAATGAAATTGCCACCTACGGTAATTGAATTGATTTCCACTCAGCCAATTGAAAATCGCGCTGAGATTTTTCAATATTTTTAATCTTCCATTCCAAATATCTTCTAAAATTTCTGGATTAAATTAAACTAACGCGCGCATCTACTATTCAAATTATAAGAAAATAATAAATTAAGAGTAACAAAAATTTTAGCTGCTTCACCGGTACGTCCATACGGGTTTTCGTCCATTGGTGGCCTTCCAACATATCGGACTACATATCCGCTTCAAACACAGCCGGTGTACAATGGGAATTCTCCTATTTGGAACATGCAACTTAAACAAATGGCATTAAATATGATGACTTTGCAAAGGTTGCAAGCGATTAGTTCAACGGACATAGGAATAAGCTCTACGAAATTTTCAACGAATCAATCGAATGAAAACTCGGCGGTGCATAGTGTTTACTCATGTGACAAATGTTCTAAATTTTTCGCTACTTCTGATTGCCTTGAAGTATACTTTTTTTTGGCAATTTTTTAATCTATAATTATTTGCAAAAAAAATATTGCATCAGTATGGTACGATTTAGTAAATTAGGCATTGTTTTAGGCATTTAATGTTAGATGAACCATTAAATCATTCAGCAAACAGCTGACTGCATAATGAATCGTCCCTACAGTTTTGTATTGAGCAGAATATTTCTTTTCAAATAACCTCAATTGTCTTATCCTCTAAATTATTAAATTTTTTTTCAAGTTCATTATAAGTTGGGGATAGAATCATTAAGTACTGAGTACTGAGGAAGTACTGAGGAAATAAATCGATGTTACACATTAATTGTCAAACAAACAAATAATTTATTTTTTCAGCAACATATGCAGATTCATTCATCTGAGAAACAGTTCGAATGCAAACAGTGCGGTAAAAGCTTCAAAAGATCTTCGACTCTCAGTACACATCTGCTTATCCATAGTGATACCCGACCTTATCCATGCGACTTTTGTGGAAAACGATTTCATCAGAAATCCGATATGAAGAAACACACCTATATTCACACAGGCATTTATTTTTATTTACTTTCAATAAACGCCAAATTTCATTTAACATTCAAAAAACTATCATTCTTTATGGCCGCTCTCTAATAAAATTCCTTTAGCCAAACTGGTTCACTTTTTTATTCTTAATTTTTATTAATGCCAAAATGAGCTACATTTGGCTATAAACTATACAGCGATGTTAATCCGATGGCTTGGCCATTGTGATTAACCAATATTTCCCATATTTTTTTTCACTTTATCGACCCCAAGCACAAAATAATTTTGCTTTTGTCAATCAGTGCTCAGTTTTAGCTGCTTCTGGCTACTGATAAACAAACAACATGCAGTTTGATTCCTCTCCTTTGATAAGAAAGGCAATAATATCAGTTCAGAAAAATCTTTTAAAGAAATACAAATATAAAAATAAAATATAAAGTATAAATAAAATATAAAGAAATATAAATCAGAATCCACGATGGATTTATTTCCTTCTATTTCTATAAAATATTCAAATTTTTAAAATTCTTTTATTCTTTTTAATATTCTTTTACAAGTAATTATTGAATTTTTTGATTAAATAAACATTTATCGTTACCAATAATAAATCACCAAAATAACTAATAAACGATAAAATTCAATAAATTTTTTTTAAAAAAAATAATTAAATAGTGAAGAAAATCATAGAAATGAAAAGCTTTAAAAGGTTGAGAAATGTAATAATTGGCGATCATTATTCGCCTTAATGAAACACATTTATCAGAATGACCGTGCTAAATCTGAATATTAAAGATTATTTAACAACCAATTTATCAATTTCATCCATTCTGCAATCACGAAAATCATTCATATCCGTTAAAAAAAAATTTCTTTTAGCGATATTAAAATTTTTTAATACTGCGAATAATTTTTCCATTTCATAGGAACTAATAGATTGAAATGAATTATTAAAGTAATTAAAGTCAGTGAGTGGAGCCATAGATTACTAGAGAAATGCGATAAGCGACAATCGAACGCAGCTTCATCCATAATTTTTAATATTTTTATTATTATATTAAATTATTAATATACATATATAAACAAGCACTTCTATAATTTCTGCTGTCATGAGCATTGTGATTATATATTTTATATATTTATTATATATTTTACATTGTGATTATATATATTTTTAATATAATGAATTTATGGAACAAAATTTATGGAACTGTTCGTCATATTCATCGTCATAATAATAATAATAATAATAATAATAATAATAATAATAATAATAATAATAATAATAATAATGGTAATAATAATAATGATAATAATAACAATAATGGTAATAATAATAAAAATGACTGTACATAACTAGTGCTAATGTTAATAAACTCCGAAATTTCTTATTGCATTAAAAAAATGGATTCATTTTTTTCTATTATCCATCTTTGACTATACAATAAATGTTAAAAATTATTAATGCGACTCCATTTGAATGCCATTGACATTACTTAATGCCTCTATTATTTTAACGATGAATATGATGCTAATCCATTCGACGAAATTATATTTCTCTCGAACTTTATGCGCCTCATTTTCTTCAAACCTCGAATTTGCGTATTATTCTATCAAAAAGTGGACAAATCTAAATTCCTTCTTGGGACCTTAGTTTAAATTGAGCTTAGCACTTCTATGCATTGGCCACTTGTCTTTAGACTTGAACTGTCCAAAATATATTATTCTTATAGATTCCCAATTGTTTTACTTCTTGTATAATTTTTCGCATGCAGATCTATTATGCAAATTGATATCGCTTGAGCCATAATGAAGTTTCATGCAAAGTTTTTTCTCAATAAGTATCGCTTGAGCCATAATGAAGTTTCATGCAAAGTTTTTTCTCAATAAGTAATAAATTTTGCGCATTCGAATTTTAGGTGAAAAACCGCATAAATGTACGGTTTGCGGAAAAGCTTTCTCACAATCATCAAATCTAATTACGCATACAAGAAAGCATACTGGATATAAGCCATTTGCATGCGATGTCTGTGGAAGAACGTTTCAGCGTAAGGTGGATAGAAGGCGACATCGAGAAAGTCATCAAAATGAGGCTGATAGCCAAAAAAGTAATGAGCAAGAGCAATTTTTTATATCAAAATATTTATTATTCAGATATTTATTCAGATATTAAAGCAACAAATATTTATTCAGATATTAAAGCAACTAACAATCACTCTAAACTATTCGTTGATGAGCAAGATGACAATCCAACCGATATTCTAAATCGTCTTGGCTTATCAAGTAATGCTAGTTTATTGACGAAGTTAAGGCAGTTGAATAATGCTGATTGCTTAGAACAAGCATTGAATTTAAGCTCTAAATAATTTATAACTTATTATTCGATGCGATACCGATTATGTCTATTTTTTTTTTTTAATTTATGCCTCTAAGCCTGGCAAAATAATAAAATCTATATGCTAGCAATTTTTTTCCTTGAACCATCATCATTATATCTTTTTTAACAGCATTAAAATGAACTATTTATTAAAATATTAAAATATAAAAAAGCTTAAAATTCGATAAGTCGTGTCCAAATGCTTTATTTCATCGTCTTAGCTCACCACAACAAACCAATTTGATCGTTCGTCTCATAAATTTTGTCATAGCAAATCAACTATATTGTCATGAAATTTTATCATAGAATAGCTTTTTCTCTATGCTTTATTTGTGGGAAATACCACTTCATCAACGGATTTCTTCCTTAAAATTCACGACATAATTCTTTCATGAATATATTATTTGAAAGATGGGTTTCGTAGATTTCGTCTACCGTATTCTCACGCAACTAAAATCCCTGGAATTAAACGTCGATTTAAATATGCATTAGTATAATGCGTGCCTTCGTAATGATTCCTATATAAATTTTACAGTAATCGAACGATTGAACTTTTGGCTAATGCTATTCGCTTTTTTTTTCGTTTTTAATTGGATGACAAGAGGCGATAGCGTTGAATTTATCGTATTTACAATAAGAAACGCGTAAAGGCTAATTGCCTAAGCAGACAGATCGAGACAGACCGTTCGCTGAATGCCATTGTTCATTTCATTGTCTTTCGATAGTTCTTCATTTTCTGTCAACGAAAATTTGCATATAAGTGCGATATTCTTAAATTATTCTTCCATTTAAAAATTTTTATTAATTGTTCAATTCAATTAAATATTCAATGAAATTTAAGAAGTCGCAAATTAAATTTAAATACACCAAAAAATTCAAAAAAAATAAAAATAATCTGAAAAATTATATAAAAACCATTTTAAAAATTTAAAAATATTCTATAATTTTTACAAATTATAGTTTGACTTGTTTAATAAAACAGTGTGCATTTTGATTTGTGTATATTGAAAAATACGGCATTACCTGTCAATCGGCCATCAAATAGCGGTTCGTTACGACATTTAATTAATCTCATATATCTGTTCGATGTCAATTTATTGCGGACAATCTTTCTCCAATCAAATCAAGCATTTCGCATGTCGAAATCGAATTTTCAACGCAAAACGATATCGTTCAATGAAAATTTTTTGCATGATAGATTTGGAAAAAAAAACTTCATTTTTCATCTTCCTTCATGATTATAGAAAAATTTATTTTCAACGAATCTTACAAAATAAATTTTAATTTCAATGAGAACTTAGGAATAAGAAAAATTATTTTAAATTTTAGGAATTTTAATTAAAATTATTGTTGCGGGGGTTATTAGTTTTATTATTTTGGCGTTTATTGTTGCATTTTACTAATGAATTGCCTTACTGCCATCATTATTATTGCTAATCGTAGATTAAAATTTTGTTCGGATAAATTCACCTTTTTTTATTATAAAAGAGAAATTTAGGAGAAAATAAAACTAATATCATTGTAACGTATGTCAAGGAATTAGGAAAATTGGACTTTTCAGAAAAAAATAGCCGAGTTAGGAAGCACCATTTCAAGCTATGCTAATCATTTCACGCACTACAACTTCTATAATAGCAAAAAATTGAAAAATTCAGAGAATGTTGAAGCCACTCGTGCTTCTGTTTCTTTTGGATGTATCTCATTCTATATTTAAATAGTTTCTGGATAACTGGAATTTTTACTTCGATTTTATATCACCATTAAAAATTTTTTTTCCAAACGGTCAATTATCATTATTAAAAATTAGGATTGTTAATGATAAATAAATCGGCGGCAAATTTATGATGAATTTATGATGGCTTTTGATGAATGAGCATATATTCAACGAATCGAAACAACTTTACTTCATCAGTTATGCATCTATGAACACTAAAATCACTTGGCTTATTACTCAGCTTAAAATATTATTTTGCTTTATGAGCAGTGCTTTTCCAGTGCAAATTTCTCGCGATTTAAATAAGCAATTTAATCCCAACATAAAGCAGACAAATTGAATAAAGAATAGTTGTTATAGTTGCTTATGTAATGCTGATGACTGGAAAATCCATGCTTACGTATACCCCCAGGGAACCATGAATAATCAATCAACTTGCCTAACAAAGAGCAATTTATTGAAAAAATTTCATCCTGACCTACCAAATTAACGAATTAAACTTTAAATTCATGAATTCCCGAATCAGCTGAATTTCATTAAATATATTTTCTAAAAATGGTGTAATGCGAATTTCCTCGATAATTCTTCTTATGGCTTTTTATTATACCAACGTAGTTATATACCTTCAGCTAAATTAAAAGTCCAGTACTCATAGAAAAAAATCAATTTTACTTTTTCGCATAAAAAAAAGTGAAAAATAGGTTTGGTTTCAAGATAAACCGTCAAAACCGATTTTTAAAAATAAAAACGACTGCATTCAATAGCTGCGATCACCATCACCAAAAAGCAAACCCTATTCAGCATCAAATCAAAAAATAAAAGATATTTAGTTTATTGTAAGTGCAAAGTAGTACAAATCAAAAGTTCATGGACCAGTGAGATTGATCAGTTGTTTTTTTTTCTCCCTGAGTATCCGCTCAGGCTGGCTACAACAAATCTTTCACTAGAGAGTGTGCATAACTATGGCGATATCTTTTAGCCGGAGAGTGAAAGGAGTGATATAGAGTGATGAGATGCTCTCAAGCACTTTCCACTCTCCAGGTTTCATTCTAAATCGAAGATTAAGCAAGAAATCGAATAAGCTTAACCTTGACCAATACCCAATACTTATCCATGATTTAATGGTGAGTCTCATGCGATATTTCTAAAAAAAAGTCTGATTTTGACTTAAACTGTACTTTTTATTTTAAAAATTATTTCAAGCGTTTAGAAATTTTAATACCACTAAAATCAACTTGTGATTCCAAATGAATCTATTGATGTGTATAATGAATTGGCAATATCTTTTGAGAAATTTTTGATAGTGTTTATGGTTAAGTGAACGCCATATGTCATGAAATATAATAGATCTACACATATAAACGAGAGTAGAATGTCATGAAATTAAAAGAGCATAAAGTATTCAAAACTAAAGCTGAACAATAATTAGAAGGTATTCCCAAGAGACAAATGTTGCTAGTGGCAGTGAATGATTAAATCTGCAGCATACACAAATGATTTCTCAATCCGAAATGCTTCACGGATAAACAAAAATTAATTTATTTTATTTCACGATCTCTACGTATAACAGGGAATGCTAAATGTTTTCAAATTCAAAAAAGTTTTACATTGAATGGTCTTTCAGTCGACTTTCATTGGTTCAAGAATTTACCCTTCCGCTTATCCTTTATTCATATCCTTTTTTCTTTACATGATCAGTAGCTATTTTTCAAAGACAATTTAACTTGTCGTGTAATATAGCGATATGCTAAGAAATTAGGCATTAAATTTATTCCCGAAAATAATACACGTGATAGCGGTTTTTTTACGAGCAACAATATTGTTGGGGCACCTTTTATAATGAGTATAAAATTTGTCACCGAAAACAATACAAGTACACGTGGTATAGTAGTTTTTTTGCGAACAATAATGCTGTTGGGGACACCTATTTATCAAAGCACTAAGTAAGGATGTGTATTTTAATAGCAATTGGCCGTAATCAATAAGCAATAACCTTAATTTTCCAACTTTTTTACCTCATTACAGTAAATCTTTTCACATCACTGCATTATTGCTATTATTCTTTTAAGTTCTAGTTTTTTTTCTAAAAATTTCCATCTTATTTCTATTCAGCATATTTCCTTACCATAATGCGATTTAAGCAATTTGCTTGCTATTCGAGATAATTAAACGAACTATGAAAATTTTCAAGGATTCGCATAATCCGTCTAATAATGATTATTTATCTAAAAGAATTTTCGAAGCGAAAAGAGTCTGGACGGTCGCGTTGGGAATCTGAGTCGTAATTAAATTATTTAGCTATTTCGTATGCACCACACTGTCCATCCAACTAAATCTCTTTTCACGAACAAATACCAATCGAATTTCAATAAAGTTCAATTATTTTACTAAAGGGACTCATTCTTAGCAAAAAATTCAATAATGATAAAATAGAAGTTATTAGAAACTTTTTAAATTAGTCGACAAACTTTCATATTTTATTGGTTGATAAGAGAGAAATTTTTTTATTATTTATTTTATTTGCAATAAAAGCAATTAGTTGTAAAAACTTTGTAGAAAGTAAATATTAATTTTATCTTTATTCATATTATTTCGTTTTTAAAATTTCAAAATTTTGAATTATCTTTATCAGTAAAAAAAGTCGGCTAAACTAAGGTCGCTTTTAGAATTTGCGACTGTGAATTGCATAAATTGCTTCCATAAATTGCTGAGATTTATCTCAAAACTAATTGTATCCTCACGAAATCGCTCGTTGGATAAAATAATAATAATTGACATTGCATTTTAGACCTCTCAAAAAACTTTCTCTTGTAAAACGTTATAAAATTTGCGCAGCGATAAAATTAGGCCATTTAAAAAAACTAATGCATAAAATCAGCAAAGTCAACAAATCAGTCCATTGGCTCAAGAATTATATAAGAATATCACATAGATAATTAAACCACAGAGCAATTTGTGCTATGGCCTAGTTCAACGAAGCACAATATTCTCAACAAGCCACTTCTAATCGTTGCTTTTTAGTAGGCTCTTAGGCAGACATTTCTCCTGACATAGATTATGAAATGGCCATGATTAAATCAACTCAAAAATTTAATATTTTTTAAAAGAGAGTATAGGCTTAGAAGAGAGTAGCGCTTATCCTGCTACCTGGATTTTAAATATATTGGTAGATTATCTTCACGAAATTCATATTTTAGTGGGCACCGACTGATCATTTACCAGAAATAATGTAAGAGACGGATCTTCAAACAGTTTTAATGATAGATTGCGCACCTACAAACCAATAAAGGCATCTGATATCATCATGGATGATAGTTTTATGAAAAATTTCTTGAGCTTAAATTTTAAGGTGAAAAATAAAAATTTTGAGGAAGATAGAATTGGAAAAATTATTTCGCGAAACTAAGATTGAAAAAAGTTATAAAACATTTTTCATCAATAGAAATTTGATTCATTATTTTCACAGTTACTTATCGCTTTTCGCTTTAATTGCCGTTGGCCTTGCTTGGCATTTTAAGGCTTATCTCGTCTTCCATCGTCTGATCCAAAGAATTGGTCGCTTCGTCCATGGATTTAGTTCCATGCGATTTTTTTTGGCGATTAATCTTTTCTTTCAAAACTTTTTGCTTCTTATTAGAGGACTTTTGTAATAACTTTGCTTTATTTGATTTAGCAATATTTGCTTTTGCTTTTTTTGTTAATTCTATGGGAATTATTTTTGAATAATTTGATAAATAACCGATTGATTTTGTGGTTGAACGCTTTGTTTTTAGTGTTCGAAGTTTAGAATTTTGTGCACATTTGGTGCATTCGATCATTTTTTTATGAGATTTCCTTAATTTTTCCTTCGGTTTTAGTTGAAATATTTTACGCGAAAAATTATTTGAAAATTTAGCTAATTGCTTTTTTTCGTTTTTTCGTGATTTTGTTTTTGAACCGCTTTCGGTACTCGGTTGTGAAAATTTTTCCGAAAAATCTGCACTTTCAACATTTTTATCAGATGAACTACGCTTCTTATCTTTTATTTTTTGCTTTTTCTTCGCTTTATGTCCACGGTCGGAAAATAGAATTCTTCCACCAATTGACTTCCTCAACATAGCAAAATTTTTACAAGTACTATCTTTTTTCTTTTTAGCTTTTCGTTTTTCTTCAGTTGTTTGTTTATGTTTGACTTTTTTTGCAATTTTTAGGCCGCTGGAACCCATTTTCGAGTCCAAAGTTCTGCTAGACGCTTTATTTTTATCTTTTCCCTTCTTTTTTATTTTTATCCTCGTCATTCCTTTTGTTTTTTCCGACTTTTTTGGTCGAATGGGTTTAGTCGAAGAACGACCAGAAGATGACGGCATTTGGGTCGCTATTTCCCTATAGTTTAACCGATCCGTTGGTTTAATAATTTTTTCACTTTTTCGCTCATTTTTACTCGTTTTCTTTAAATCTGATATCGAAGCATCAACTCGGTCTGACGACAATTTCTCGATTATGGTTGAATCTGAACTAAGATATGGTGGTGTCACATCTTCAATTTCCGACGATCGCTTCAATAGAGTTTTTTTCATAGGAATTGCTGGTTTTATAATTGGCATTGCTTCTTTGGAATCATTTTCATGACCTTGCAGGCCATCCGTTTTTACACTGAATTTTTTCTTCGCTGAATTGATAGATTCCTTAAATTCTCTAGAACTTGATTTTCGTCTTTTAGTTTTAACATCGATCAATCCAGCAAATTTCTTTGATCCTTCTCGTTTCTTCTGTTTTTGGCGTTTGAACTTGGCTTGCTTGGAATATGAATCTTGGGTACTCAATGATGGAAGAAATTTTTCTTTTTTAATATTTTTCATTGATAACAGATGTTTCCCTTTCTTTTCAATACCATGCCGATATATTTTGTCGCTTTTAGAGCGCAATTGGCTGAAACGTTTATGAATGCCCATTTTCAACTTGCGACCTCGAGTTTGCGGTTCCGTGTAGCTTTTGGATTTCGAAATATCACTTTTGGATAATTTTTTATGCCTTCTTAGCGATTTCTTATGACTTTCTTGTGTTTTTTCTTCGAAAGCTTGCGATCTATGAATAAATTCTTATTAGAAATCAAGCAGTCTTGAATTAACTGGATAATTTTTTTAGTTTATTAATGAAATCTAGATTTCGTCAACTATAAAGTTTCGAAAATATAGCGTTTATTTGATTTAATTTCAAGGTGAATTATTCCGTAATTATTAAATAACCATTTGGCGATAAACAGTTGAACTAACATTTTATGTTTTGGTACTTCTTTCTTTTCCTAAAAATATATTTTTACTATTAAAATCAAACTAAATAATTTTGGAAATATTGCCTGCCGATCGCTAATTTATCAACGGTTATTCGAAAAAAAATCGGCCATTTTTATGAATTAAATGAAGAATTAATAAAAAACTTATTAATAATTTCAGTCTTGTCCACAAATCTTCAGTGACTAATTGCCTTGGTGTTTTCCGAATTGGTGCTTTTTTATTTCCTTAATTAATTATTTAGGTTAATTAATAAAATGCATTCCATACATCCTGTGAGCAAGAAAAAGTGCCAGCAATAAAGTATTTACTTTCTTATAATTACTTACGAATTTGTGGATAAGATAGTTATTTGATTTAAGCTATAATATTTATTTATTATTTATTTATTTACATTGAAATTTCTGGAATGAAGAATTTGTGAAGAAAACTACTTTTGCTTAACTCATAAGGTTGCAGGTATTTTTTCTCTTGTCTCATCTTTTTAAAATTTATCTATCAATGATTTGCGATTTTTTATACTCAGTTTCATATTTTTTATAGAAATTTTGACCGTTAAATCTTCTCTGTAAATCTCGAATAAAAAATTGAAGAACCAAGAAACCAACCCAACTATTCAAAAATGTATGTTATTTAAATTACGGTTAAATCGTTTTAATCAAGCAATACTTACTATATTTATATTTTTCAAATAATTTTCTTCTGGAGCTTCTCGACGATAAACTATAAAATAAGAGAATATAATTCTTTTAAACCATTTTTAAAAATTAAATTCTTATTTTTTTAAATATTTATATTCCCTTATATTTTATATTTAAAAATATTTTCAAGTATTATTTGGTTAATTAAGCGTTTAATAATTTGTCGCGATTAAAAAAGGATGAGATAACTTAAATTTCTACATTCTTCCATAAATTTTGAAAATTTTCTCGCTAAATTTCCCAAATTCATTAGAAAAAAAAGAAAAATATGCCATCTTATGGCGCGAATTGAAAAAAAGATTAAGGAAAATACCTAGTTCTTGAGGTTCTTCCGCTCGTTTTTCCACTTTTATCAGTCTTTTCTAATCCACTTTTCCGTCGTTTTTTGGCTAAAATATCAATTAGAAATTTTATTGCAAAATAGATCCTCTCTTGTATTATCTTAAAAGAACTTTATCTTAAAAGAAGCTAAAACTTTGGCTTTTAAAAAGTCATTTATTTGGCATTTATTCAAAGGAACTAAAGGAACGAATTAGTGAGCTTGGATGGTAGTTAAACATTACTGTTATCATAACGTGAAAATAGGAATTCTAAAATTATCATTTTTGTATTCAGAAAATCCAGAAAACTATTAAATTAACAATTAACTTACAAGATTTTCGTCGATGATTTTCAAACGAAATTATCTAAAATGGAATAATAAGAGAGTTTTAAATAAATATTACACGTATAAAAAAATTTTTCAATTTTGATTTCGATGAAAGAATAATTAATTAGATTAGTAAAAGTAAGCGATTTAATAAACAAAGAAAGATCAACTATAATAGTGTAATCAAAAGCGAGCAGAGCCAATCAAAGCTTGGATTGATACAGTTAGGAAAGATTTTGAACTAGTGATATATGGACTTAGACAATGGAAAAAGGAATGGCTTTTATTACCATTAGCGATAGCAACTGGATCGAATAGCTTGGAAATATCTTATCCTTATAGCCAGCGGAGCAGTCTATCCAGTAATGGCGAGAGCTGCTAAAAATAATAGAATAATTATTTCTAAGCCTAAGCCCTAAGCCTAAACCCAAGCCTTAAGCCTAAGCCTAAAGCCTAAGCCTAAGCTTAAGCATGCTCAGGCGAAATATGCATTTTCAAATATTAAATGATGTTCTGAAATTAATATTCAAGAATGATTTTTAGCGAAAAAATGAAGAGAGGGTCATACTTTAACTGATTTGTCTTTGTCTTGACTGCGTATCGATCCGCTTGATTTCTTGCGGTGCTTTTGATCACTAAATTTTCATGTTTTCTCTAGCATTAAACAATTTTATAGAAAAAGGCAAAAGTTTGGATGGGGAGGGGGAGGTAGTGGTGACAATTTATTTCATTATTATCATAACTTTTACTTCATTATTCTTAGCAATTAGTTTATACAACGGTAATAAAAATGGCCAAACGATGAAATAAATTGGTAATAAATTTGATTAATAAATTTTGAATAAATTTGAAATAAATTTGATTTTATCATAGCTACAATTTTTAAACAATTTCCTTAACAACCTTAAATCAATTGGTTTATACTTGGTACTCCGATCAGATTTTCTATATACATCGTCCTTGCTATTCCTTCTCAAATGCCCTGAAAAAAAGTCTTAAAATGTTTTATTTTTTAATTAAGATATGATTATAATGCTGTTTGGTAAATCCATGTTGGTGTAGAAATAACCCAAACCTTATACAACAATCGTTTAGCAATAAGACAACAGAAGCATGAATTAACGTTAAAAAGCCGAAAGTCTTAGAAAACTTTCAAACATTTTAAGAATAATTATGCGATTTCAAATGTTTACTTCTTCTAAAATGCTTATTCAATTTGAAGAACAAAATAATAAAACAAGTCGCTAATGTTTTTCTAATCATTTGGGATTTTATATAAAGAAGGAATGGATTTCCTGAAAATCAGTTTTACTTTGTATTTTGCTTAGCGGAGTTTTCATTATTCGTTTGATTTTACGAAAAGATTCTGATACCTGAAAATTTTGAGAAACGAGTCGATTTCATATTTATTCACTAAAATAGTAATACAGTAAATAATAAAATATTAATGTTTTTATTCCAAAATTGCTTACATTAAACTTTTTCCTACTCGTTTCTTTCATTGAATCTTTCTCATCATCAGATCTAAAAAATCGTTGGTCAATCCTGAAATCTTCCGCGACTTCACTTCTATGAAATTAATAATGAAAAAATGGATGCTCTTCCAAGTCCAAATCTTAGCGAATAGGATAGCCGAAAATAATTAAGCATTTTGAACGTAATGAAAAATAGTTGCCTATGAAAAATTACGATAACTTTAACTGAGATAGAGTTAATTTTATTCGAAAATTAACAATGTTTCGAAAAAATTCAATTAAACGCTATTTCAAACAATCTACTAAGCATCAATTTTTTGGTTTTTTTCTTAAAATTTTTTCTAAATGTTCATGTAATTATATTTTTTCTCAGTAACAAATATTTCTGAATTCTACCATAGTAGATTAATGACTTCAGCCTAAGGTCTAAGAATAAATATATGCAATGCAGTTTTACTGGTCGCGTTTAGTTTATATTTTGGAATTCACCCACTTTTTTGAAGATTGTGTTATCGACTCCACACCTGAAATACCAAATTCACGCTAATTTTCACAAACTGAATCGATTTGCACTTGTTTTTTTTTTGAAAAATGGAATATTGTGGATCAAAATTTTTTGCTCCAGTTCCATTAATTATATTAATATAAAATTTTTAATTCCCTACAAAGAGCACATGCCATTTCTGGTTAGGCATATTCAGCTAGCTAATCGGACTAGGTAAAATTTTCCAAACTCACACTGGCGAATAAAGTACCAGTGAGTTACTAATGAGTCGGATTTACTCGGATTTTTGAAAGGCAGGTTTACTCTCATCAGCAGTAGAATTTCAGCATCGATTCCGAAATAAGGGCAATAACCTACTGAGCCGTTCAACCCCACGGCTTTTTACTATTTCTATCCATTTGCACTTATTTATTATTATAAGTAGACCACTTAAACTTATTTTATATGCACATTTTATCATTATTTTATTTTCCAATTTCTCTCTTCAATCAAAGCTTATTATTCTCGTTCTCCAAATCTAATGAACAAAGTTCCACAGATTATTCGTTGTCTGATAGAACAATAAGATGGGATATAATGAGATGGCTCAATGGGTTATTGCTCAGTTGGGAGGTTCGATGCTGAGGTTCGATTCTCCGCGGGAGTAAACCTGTACAAAAATCCGGGTGATGTTGGCGACTCACCTTTATTTCTATCACCAAAGGACTCCATGACATATTGCCCAATGCGACAAACCAGTGGAGTGAGTTTAATACAAATAAAAATGCAATAACGGTGAGAACTCTTAAAAAAAAAGTAAAATAGGAATTATTAACGAGTAAAAATAGGAAGATGGACAAGATTAAATTGTTTATACGATTAGTAATTTTTTTCACTGATTGTGGATAAAAATCAATGAGTGTGATAATATCAAAGAATGAATATTGAATGATAAAATTTATCAAAAAATGATCAAAAAGAGCTACAAATTTGTTGCATCTCAGACATTTAACATTAGTTTGACATTTTTTTTTAGACCGCGACAATATTTCTATGTGATATGACATGTGTGCACATATATTTAGGATATTGTTGGAATCGATCAGTTCTACGAGTTAATTTATTCGATATTTCTATAAATATTTTGAAGAGGTGCATGTGAGCTTTTCTTTTGGTAACTATGAAATATATGGAACCCGTGTCATTATTAATAGCTTTACTTTTATTGCCTTCAAATTCTTCAAATTCAATTCGTCTCGTTTCTTTTAAAAAGATTATTTCGATACATTTATAAAATACCATTTAATAAAATTCCTTTTTACTATAAATATGTGTTGGCCACACGACGCGTT